GGTACTGAATAGGTATTTGGTACCCAGGTACATATATATATATATATATGTATGAGTGGATTTTCTGAAACGGATGGTAACTGCCCACCGGGGGTGGTAACTGCCGTCGCTGCTGGATGTTGGACACGTGTCTTAGTAGCGCAATCTGATGGACGATGCTGGTTCAATACAAATGGCATAGCAGTACGATGTCAACCCCTCCTCTGCCGTTTGCTCAGTTCGCTTTTGGGGTAGACGCATGCAATTGGGACCATCGCTGCGTGTCTGGAGTTCAGAATCATTTCTGAAAGGACAAAGAGGCCATGGGTGCGCCAAATTTTCATGTACTTTCGGCCAAAAAAAATGAGGTGCATTATAGGGTCGGACTAGGACCACTACACTATGTAGCGATGCAGAGTTTTATGGGGTGACCCACTAACCCGGTACCCAAAACGTTTCTTCTTCCTCACGCGTCTTCGTTTCTTGTCCTGCACTCGTAGTGTTCTTTTTTGGTGGAACAAGTACTCAAGGACAGAGTGGGTTGGGTTGATCCAAAACCCATAAAGAATTTGGTGGGTTGATAGGGTTAGTGTTTGGGTCTAGTATTTGCATGCCTTAACACTATGGCACTATGCTATCCAGAGGTAGTCGATATCGCTCTGTTTGTTTGGATTGGTTTGGCTTATAAGCCATGACTGAAAGTACTGTTGGCTGGTTTGATGTGAGAGAAAAATACTGTTCGTTGACTGATAGCCATGGCTTATAAGCCAGATATGAGCAAGCGAAACAGGCTGATGAAGTAGCCTGTCATTACGCGGCGTGCTTCCGCTGCCTGTACGCTTCATTCGCCATCCAAACTTTGCAGTGGCCGCAGTCTGCAACCCCTCGAAGGACTGCTGCATGCAGTCTACCACGGCACATCATCCTGATTCCCCCCACAACCACAAGCATCCTGAATTATGGCTAATGATTTGAGTAATGCAGACTGCTAAATACTGTTCAAACGTGTAGTAAGATCAAAGAAACATGAAAGGGCTGCATGTTCACAGGTTCTGGCGTCTACTTAGATTTTCTTTATTTTGAAGGCACCTGTTGGGTCTCTAAACTTCAGAATCATTTCTTCAAAGGACAAAGAGGCCATGGGTGGATTGCTGAACAAATGTGATGAAGGTCCCTGACAACGACGTGGCTTTGTAGCTTTTAGATGTCCTTGTGTGGTGCTCAGACACTCCATTCTGGTCTATCTCACATTTTATTTGCACAAAGAGTTTAAAACTTATTTTGTAGCTGACTATTGAATATACTCTCCATATATATATATATAGTTATGTTATGTTATGTTATGTTATTGGGAGCTTAGGGCTCCCAATAGTTATTGAAAGCCCGAACCCAAAGTCCAGCTAGCTGGTTCCATCAAACTAGCCTCCTGAAAGGTCATAATGGCTAGAGGTGGGGTGAATAGCCTAAAAAAAATTTCTACAACAACACTTAGCAAACCGGTTAGACAATTATGAGGCGAAGCAAGTGTTGCGCTAGCCTACTAAAAATGCAAGCCACCTACCATAATTCTAGTTTATATAGTATATATCAACACAATAGCTATATCACTACACTAAGTTAGTGTGCTCTCAAATACTAACTAAAGAGCCACACTAACTAAACTAACAAGCTCTCACAACTAGTTACACTAAAGAGCTTGACAACTAGTTTGCAGTAATGTAAAGAAATTGAGCAAGATGGTTATACCGCCGTATCGAGGAAGGATACAATCAATCACAAGAATGAATAACAATGAAGACCAATCACCTCGGAATCAAATGATGAACACAATGATTTTTTACTGAGGTTCACTTGCTTGCCGGCAAGCTACTCCTCGTTGTGGCGATTCACTCACTTGGAGGTTCACGCGCTAATTGGCATCACACGCCAAACCCTCAATAGGGTGACGCACAACCAACACACGATGATGATCACACAAGCCACGAGCAATCCACTAGAGTACCTTTTGGCTCTCTGCTGGGGAAAGGTCAAGAACCCCTCACAATCACCATAATCGGAGCCGGAGACAATCACCAACCTCTGCTCGACGATCCTCGCTGCTCCAAGCCGTCTAGGTGGCGGCAACCACCAAGAGTAACAAGCGAATCCCGCAGCGAAACACGAACACCAAGTGCCTCTAGATGCAAACACTCAAGCAATGCACTTGGATTCTCTCTCAATCTCACAAAGATGATGAATCAATGATGGAGATAAGTGGGAGGACTTTGGCTAAGCTCACAAGGTTGCTATGTCAATGCAAATGACCAAGAGAGTGAGCTTGAGCCGGCCATGGGGCTTAAATAGAAGTCCCCACGAAATAGAGCCATTGGGCTCCTCACTGCACAGAACACGGGCCGATTGGACGCACCGGTCAGATTGACCGGACGCTGGACCGCAGCGTCCGGTCACGCGATGCACGCCACGTGTCCCTCTCTTCAAATGCTGTGCGCCCGATCTCAACGGTTAGAAGACGACCGGACGCAGCAGCAAACAGTGACCGGACACTGAACCCCCAGCGTCCGGTCGTTTCCGGTAAGCTTCCAGAAACGATTTTCTCGACCGGACGCGTCTGGTCATGCTTGACCGGACACATCCAGCGTCCGGTCACACGGTGTCATCCTCTATGCTGCCACGTCAGCATGACCGGACGCAGCCTTCCACCGTCCGGTCGCTGAGCGACCCAGCGTTCGGTCATGAGACCGAAACGCACGTCCTCTGCTGCCACTGACCGGACGCGCCGGTCCAACCGAGACCAGCGTCCGGTCACTTACAGTGACCTTCGTCTTTTCTGTCTAGGGCGCCGGTGGCACCGTCGGACTGTCCGCACTCTACGGGCGTACACTCCACCGGTGAAGTTCCTTACCCTTGCTCAAATGTGCCAACTACCAAGTGTATCACCTTGTGCACATGTGTTAGCGTATTTTCACAAACATTTTCAAGGGTGTTAGCACTCCACTATATCCTACATGCATGTGCAATGAGTTAGAGCATCTAGTGGCACTTTGATAACCACATTCCGATACGAGTTTCACCCCTCTTAATAGTACGGCTATCAAACCTAAATGTGATCACACTCTCTAAGTGTCTTGATCACCAAAACAAAATAGCTCCTACCATTTATACCTTTGCCTTGAGCCTTTTGTTTTTCTCTTTCTTCTTTTCAAACCCAAGCACTTGATCATCACCATGGCATCACCATCATCATGTCATGATCTTCATTTGCTTCACCACTTGGAATGTGCTACCTATTTCATGATCACTTGATAAACTAGGTTAGCACTTAGGGTTTCATCAATTCACCAAAACCAAACTAGAGCTTTCACCTCCTACCAACCTAGTCCAGCCACCAGCCGACTTGCTCACCCTGTGCCCCACCCGCCGGCCCACTAGGCCCAACCTTCCTGGGCCATATATAATCCTCCAAACCCTAATCCCCATCCACCCCTGACCACCAGCCCCTACCACACGCCGCCCCCACTTGGAGCGTGGCCCGCCGCCCCACCTGGAGCGCGGCCCGCCGCCCGTGGAGCGCAGCGGCCACCCCCGGAGTGCGCGTCGCCGCGCCTTGGACCACGCGCGGGGACGCCGACGGCGACTTGGAGCTCGCGGCCGTCACCCAGCAACCCGCCCCAGCCTTCCCCGACCAGCGACGGTGCGGCCCGACCCTCCTCGACCGGCGACGGTGCGGCCCGCCCCTCCCTGAGCCGTGGCGGCGCAGCCCCGCCCCTCCACCGACCGTTGACGGCGCGGCTCCACCCCTCCCCGACCAGCCACGGTGATGGTGCGGCCCTACCCCTCCCCGACCCATGGCAGCGTGGCCCGCCCTCCTCGAGCCGCAGCGGCACGGCCCCGCCCCTTCCACTGTCCTCTGATGGCGCGGCTCCGCCCCTCCCCGACAAGCTGCGGCGCGGCCCCTCCCGTCCCCCGATCTGCTAGGGTATAATGAAGATCTTCAAACGTAATGGATACAAACTTTATATAGGTGATATGTTCAAATAGCATAGAACTATGGGAGTGTAGGATAGGAAAAGAAAAATGTATAATATCATCCGAAATTTTCGGTTCAAAATAGTAGTACGACCCTCTATCCCAAATTATAGTTTGTTTTGGATTTTCTAGATATATAGCTTTTGTATTTAGATTCATAGTAAAAGTTATGTATCTAGAAAAACCAAAATGACCTACAAATTGAATCGGACAGAGTAGTAAATTGCTAAAACGAACGGTTATCATTTACATAAATGTTGTTTTTGTTTTCATCTCTGTCTTACCCAAGCACAGTAAAATATAAAAATTGAGCCCTAATAAATCATATGTTTCATTTCTGTTCTCATCCTTACATGATTTGTTTCAGTGATCTTATCCGTAGGTAGGAGGATGCATAGTCACATAAAACGGGTTTGATGTCTTCAACCCTCGATATGGGTTCATTGACCCCGACCCAGGTTCACGGGTTCATTTTTGACCGGAAGTGTAAAAATCTGTCGTAAGTAGCGTACCATGCATTCCGCGATGCCCGTACCTCGACCGCGTCAACCCAGAAACTTTATGACAACCCTGTTTGCTTATCTTATAATCCGTCTTTTTCAGTTTGTTTTTTCAGTCGGAACAGTGTTTTTTCTCCCACAACAAATTAGCCGGAACAGTGTTTCGGCTTATTTTTTCAGTGAAACGAACGGAGCATACGGGAGTATGTAACAAGGGCGCAGCCCGTGGGTGAGTGTGGTTCACGAGCGAGGGCCCCGGACCAGCCGCACAACATGGATATAGCACGAGACATGGTCAGTCTACATTAAATTTTCAAAGGGCATAAGACTCGGTGATCAGCCAGAACAGCAACCAAAGAAGGCAATACCAACGAATCACACAACGTATTTATTAGCACTATATATGTGGTAACAAGGACTCAAGGATCTGTTTGAAGTAGCTACTTTTACTACTACTACTACTACAGTTCAGCTGTATGACAGTAACGACGCGCACTACGCTCGTCGTGCATCGCGGTCACCAGCGACGACGTCAGTGTGATCCCGACCATGCAGAAAGAGGCAGAAGAACCCTCCGGCTATCGTGGCGCCGGCCATTGTCCAGACCAGGCAAGCCATGGCTGGTGCGGCCTGCGCGAGCGCGGCGGCGACACGGTGCGCGAAAATAGCCGTGAGCGCCGCGGACTGAGCCCACGCCGCGGCCTTGAACAGGCCCCGGCGCCTCTCCTCGCGCGCTCGCTCGTGCGCGCGGACCGTGGCGAGGAGAGCGGTCACAAGCACGGTGGCGGCCGCAACGAACGCTGCCACCCAGGCGTGGCCGCGCACTAGAGCGCGGCGCAAGGCGACGCCCGAGTTGAGCAGGAACAGCGCCAACGCTAGGGCGGCCAGCGCGGATGACGGTGGCACTGTGCACACCCACATGGTGATCACACGGTTCCGACCGGAGGAGGCTGTGCTGTGGTCTCTCGGAAATGGAAAAGGTAACAGATGGTATGGAACAGTAGTAAAAGAAAATCAAAATTAAGGAAAACTAAAAAGCTCTTGGCATGCAAACGTTGCCATGTTTATATATAGCGGAGCAGCTTGACCAAAGCTGCTTGGGTCTTCTAAAAAATGTGGAACATATCCACGCTTGGAATTCACTGGGCATTACTGAAGAAAACAAGCCAATGCTGTAACTATCCTGTGATGCATCTAACTGCTCTCGATGGTCGAGCAAGGATTCTGTGCCCAATCGCCGCGTACGTAACACGTTGAGTATAGCGGTGAAGCGAGGCTTGCAAGCGATAACAAAGAAGCTGGTACGCAACTTGTTCCAGAATCCAGTACCGTGCTTCTTCTGCACACCATTTTTTACCAGCCAAAAAACATACAATAAGCTTACCAATTGACTTGGTCCCAGTCAACACAGGTGGTCACCCTTTGCATTTACAGGGCATCTTCCAGGAATCTTTTCTTGCACGCGGCAAATACGCCTGATTCTTCATCAAGCATCATCATGACATCATAGTCTGTATCAGCGTATGGCGTCATCAAAACATCATCATCATCTTCTTCAAGCAAACAATGCAAAAGCTTCACGCAATTCACAGCGGCCACAGCGAAAACAAACTCCTACAGAAAAGGAAAACATCCCAACTTATGTTTGCCCAAGGCCAAGACAAGCATAGGCACGCATCATCTCTCACCCCATATCGTTCAGCCTAAACCTATAGATGTCACAACTCACAACTTAAGCAGAGCTAATAAAGAAAAAAAAAATCCAACACAAAACAAAGGTTGCATCAGTAAACAGCAAAATCTAATCTTACATCCAGCTTTAATTTCCTCACTCCTGGATTTGCTCCTCAGATGGGTGCTGGTGGTGGTTACCCGGTGTACCATCATCACCTGGCGCACCCTGTGTCGAGCTCCCCTGTTCGATGGACTTCATGTCCAGTTTCTTCTGCTGCTTCTGTACTACTTGTCGAGGCATCACCTCCAAGATGAAGCTGCCACCATTCCATGTCGACGCGCACACCTTGAGTATCAGGAACACCATGTGCATCCGGTAGGACAGGAATATAGGGACAGTCAGGGCCATTGTTGCCACTGTGAACAGCGCCTGGAGCAGTATGTACATGACCTGCCGGTTCCGGTCACCCAGCAGTCCGCTCAGCCTCCACCAGATGTTGTTCGCTTTCTGTGCTTTCTTTGAGAGCTCCCTGACAAACAGTTCATAAGATAAACATTAGGCTCTATGTTGGGATCAAGGATATTCGAGAATCGAGAATACCAACAGTTATTTGAACCCGTAGGAATTAGGAAACAAGGACTCATGAACCCAGGAAATGCAAGTGGGCAAAACGCAAAACAGGTGCAAACTTAAGGTACACAGCATGAGAAGAGTTTTTGTATACAAATTCAAAGTCTATCTCAACCATCAAAACTACATTAATGTAAATGAGACAGTCACTACTGCGAGGAACTATATTTTTTCCTTGTTGCTTGGGAGGCGACAAGCAATTCAGAGAAGGCCTCAACACTACCCTTGTTGCTTGGGAGCTGTGCAAGCATTGTTACGACTGACTTTTTATCTAGTTAGGATGGTGGCTGAAGAAGGAACTGTCCATGTTCTGTCAAGGCCAGGGATCTCAGGAACTTGGTCATGGGGCTCATCTAGGTCTCCCTCCCTGGTTTAATGTCTTTTGCGTGTTTATTCTAATTACCTAGCATATGTAAATTTGTGGTGTGTGTGTGTGTGTGTGTACGTGCGCATAGTGTTTGGATGGTTTTCTTTGTATCCTTTTTCTTCCCTTCTTTCAATGATGATACACAGATTTCTCGCGTGTTTAAGAAAACAAAAGAAATGCAACTTCACCTGTGATTAACGAGATTAATTAGTTCTAATATCATTATTCACTGGTGACCAAGTGACACATGCAGTAAGTGTGTCAGGGGCAAACACAAGCCCATCTTCCCTCCCTTGCTATTTCATAACCCTACCCTTTTGGGTATTCAGTTCATTTCTCTCAGTACAAAGCAAGAGGGCATGCAACAATACAGATGCATAGCAAGCAAAACGAAGTACTCCAGTACATATAGTGCATGCTAGACCTTAATAAAATGCAAACATGTACCTGTAGGATGTCATGACTTCAGGGTCCCTTAACAACCTCTGTCGACGCAGGACGTTAACTATGAGGAAATACATAAGTTGCCACAGGGTGTAAGCAGATAGTGGAACAAAAAAGAGCCATGCCCACAGATATGATTTATCCTCCACATATGGCCATGTATCTCTGGCATCTCTTCCTTCTGGGTGCATGGCAGCAAATGTTTGTGGATTCCACCACCGGATAGTGAATAGAACAATCCCTGCAGAGGCACTCAATCAGTCATGAAGCCCGACCAATATTCAGAAACAAAATGCAATTGATAAAGAACAGAACTACATAATCCTAGTATACCAAGGACCTATAGGAAATTTGATAAGGCATCAAGTATATCCCTTCTGTAGTTCAACTGAATCTTAACAGGCCCAATTGCACATTTTTGTTGAATTCATCAGATTAAGTGTCAATAATTTTGTGTTCCTCATTGTTTCATATTTTGGCATCACCATTCCATTTGTAGTTTCCTTGAAACTTTCAGAGATAAAGGAAGAAGGAAGTTCAGCCTGACAAAAATGGCATGTGTGGGTTAAAGAATCACGAACGAGAACACTAACATCACATACTAATTAACAAAGCAAAGAAATAATTCAAATTCAAATAATGTAAAGTCCCCATAGATAACTCACACAACGGGTCAAACTCAAGTATGTCAATAAACTGAAATGGTTACATAGTTTCACTAGACCAAAATGATGTTTACCTGAAAAAGTAAAATGCTGTATGTGTTGAATCCAGATATTCATGTCTGAGACCACTTACCAGGTAAGAGATGTATCAGGACACTAACAAGTTTGTCAAATGAACTAAAAACCAAGCTGCAACGCCACACAATTAATGCCCAAGCAAGTGGACCCTGTGAGGATTTAAAATGATTAAATACATCCTGGACAAGCTCTGGAAATAAACAAGGGTATTTTTCATACCTCTGCAAACGAGAAGCAAACCATGAAAAGTTTTTCATCCTTTGGATAGAAGAGAATCATTACAAGGAGAAAGGTGTTGGCATAGTAGCAAAAGTCCTGCAGAAAAGAGAGAAAAAATAAACCTCAAGGTTTACATACAAGATGATGGCTTTAGAAATGGAGAAGATCCCATCAAAAGAACACAAAACTGTTGCCTAGCAAACTTATATTTGTGACAACATTCAAACTGTAAAATGAAACAGAACCTAGAATATTGACCTAGATATAATGTAGGCACACTATCTATCAGGTAAATCAGGTAAAGGGCTATTCCTGGTACACTAAAAAATATCATCGACACTCCACATCATTAGAATGGAGTGGCTCCTCTTTTAAATTTTAAAGGATAAAGACATGAGATATGTGACGATAGGTCTACCGCTTACACACATAGCCACATAGGAATATTGTGCAACTGCAAGATGTTGGCACAATGTCATACAACAATATATCACCAACTCATCATACTAATATGTGCTATTTACAACTATTTATCCTTTCATTCAACAAAGCTTTCTATTGTGAGATTTGTGGTGCGAATAACAACTAAATTTAAAGTAAAGTAAGACACTGAAACTAACAACCTTAAGTTATGAACTAAGTAAAATTCTGAGGAAGCACATTTCTGGTACTTGACGCATTTCCAATGTGAGACAATAATGGACTCACCAGGAGATAGTAATGCCATTTCTTGTAGCGGTAGTAAATCCAGCGGAGCGGAACGAATATGACATAGAACAGGCAATACACATATGGCACATCCTGTGGTCCTGCAAGCAACACCAGAGCCAACAAGAATCTTATGATGCACAGTACGTAACACCCAACCAAATAGATCAATGCAGCAGTAGCTTACTGGCACCCAAGAGATAGCAAAATCCCCCAAATCCAAGAACACCCAGCAAGTGTGTGACCTGCACATTTAAAACGAGTAGCACCATATGAGAACATTCCCTGCACCCAATCCAGCGGATCCAATTATTACCACAATCTCTGCCGTACAGTACGAACAATAAATGCACAAAGTGCGTGCAGGTACTTATTCCTTTCCGCTAAAATGCTTGATAAAAATCTATCGCCAATATTTTCTCGTACTCATCGAACAGTAACATCACACAATGCCCACCAAAATTGGCTGCGGACTGGATTGGTTACGGAAAACGCAGGCCAATAATAATTCCCTTAGATTCCGATAAAAAAGGGAGCACGGGAGCGGCAAGATTGGTGAACATCATCAACTGCAGAAGAAATGCAGCGATAAAGGGATTAAACGGAGGCAGAGTGGGGAAATGACCTTAAAGATGAAGCGCTCGTGCTGCTCGGCCTTGGTGGCGATCTTGACGGCCTGCTTGGACAGAATCGCCTTCGCCTGATCCCTCTGCACACCACGGAACCCGCCAGACAAGATCAGGACTCATAAATAAAAGCAGCCAAAAGCAAATCCAAGAAAGTAAAATCGAAAATCAAACGACAGGGCAGCGGCGCGGTGGCATACTCTCCGGCGGACGTCGGCTGCACCGTTGGCGACCAGCGGCGCGCCCGCGGCCGCCGCGTCGTCCTCCACCTCCGACGCCATCCCTTCCCAACAAGGCAAGAACCTTCGAGACGCGACCTTTGTTCTCCTATCCTCTACGCCACCTTTCTTTTATTTTTATTTATTATTTATTTATTGCTATGAAATTTTCTCCCTTTCCTTTCCTTTGCTCCCCTGGATTTATGATGTCCTTTATATACTATAATCACACAACACCCATCGAGCTTAATTGCCTTTTAATCTGATCCCATCCAATTTTCTACCCGTTCGTTTTCGTTAAAATCCGGCTCTTTCGACTTCTTTTTTTTCCAGGCGTAAAAATGGTTTGTCTCGTAACAATTCAGTTGGAACAATGATTTGACTTATTTTTTTAGCCAAACGAATGGAGCCTTTCTTCTGTCTTTTCCCGTGAACTCAGTCAGAGCTGCGTGGTGTTTTGGGCTCCGCATGGCTCCGTTCGGCTTACTCCATATTCGACTTATTTTTTTAATCGAAATAGTATTTTTCTCTGACAACAATTCAATTAAAATAGTGTTTCAGTCAAGATTCAGCGAGTCGAACGGACCTGGAACGCGACATCAGAACATGTGTGCCGTCGCCATTGTGGGCTTGTGGTTTTTTTTATTTGATAAAAAGAAAGACACCCAGGCACCCAGCCCTGCGGGCTGCGGCTGACGGAGACGGAATTTCGTGATTTTTTTTTTGACAAAATACTCGGCGAGCTTTATTGACGGAGAGATATTACATCGTCGTCATAAATTCAAGAATAAAACGAGGACTTATCGTCCCAACTACAATTAAGTTTCGCTAAGCCAGCTCTTGCGCTGTCTTGTTCGCTTCTCTATTGCAATGCTCGATGGAGATCATCTGAAACCCTCTCCAAACAATATTACACTCATCATACACCGCAGCTGCTGAATTGTTGGATATATTATGGGCTTATCCGTATAATATTTAATAAATCAAATAAAAATATATGGTACGTAACATTAAGCGTTGTATGGTTTAATACCGTACGGGATTTTGACTAAACGTTAACTCAACTTATTTGGTTGGAAATTATCCATCTTAATTGAGAAGCTGAAAAAATGACAAATGAGTGCCACACGTGCGCGCCGCCGCCGGTCGGGCCGTGGGTGCGGGCATGGGCGCAGGCCGAGGCCGAGGCCGTGGGTGGGCGTGTCTAGGTTTTGCCACTTAATCAACATAATCACGGGAGTTTCTCCCCTTTATGGTGGAGGTGAACTGATTGTGCCAGTACCGTCTCTTCGTGTCTCCATCTCCTGGGTTCCTCCGGTGCCTTTCTCCTTCCCCGTCGCAGCCATAAATTTAAAGTCCTCCGTTAGTCCACTTCTTCCGCTTCGCTTCTGAAAGACCACATCTCATCTACCCTTTGGGTTTCTCCGTCCCGTACTTCTACGTGCACGGAGTAGCGGGAGAGCAGGTGCCTCCGGAATCCTCGTCCGCCTGTGAACCTTGTATGGGGTGTGCGACGATTAGGTTTGTGGGGAGCGATTCCGCGACTGCTCGTCCGACGTCTTCTTCCTGGTGATCGCTCGCGGAACCTGTCTTCTTTCTGGTGATCGATCGCGGAGCCCGTCTTCTTCTTGGTGACCGTTCGTGGGACTGCACTGCGAACACCTTCCTACATCGACTGTAGTCCACGACTTCGAGCAACACACTATGTCGACTAGTGCGAATGAAGCCTTCGATGCCCTCGGCATGGGACCCTCCGCTAGGTACATTCTTAACTCTGTGATTACCACACTTTGCGTTCTTACTGTATCGATCTGTATGTCATACTTGCATGAGGTAGCGTTTGTTAGTGATATACACATGCACATATATGTCGTTATAGACCTGCTGATGTTTTATTTCTAGATTAAATTGACAATAAAAATACCTATTTATCTAACAATAAAAAAACCTAATGTTAGGCAATTTTCTGTCAGTGGTTTTGCTACTGCTTTGAAGTCGAATAATTTTGATGACAAAAATTTTATGATATGGCGTGCTAAGATGGTGTTGTGGTTGATTGCTATGAATTGCTATCACGCCGCACAGGGGAAGCTAGAACAATTTACTCCTGAGGAGGAGCAAAAGTTCTTAGGCTGCCGATAACCTGTTTCGAGGCGCCATGATTAGTGCACTTTATCCTAAGTATGAGAAAAACTACATATCTTGTACATCAGACAAAGAGTTATGGGATGCTCTTGAGACAAAGTTTGGAGTTTCTGATGCTGGTAGTGAGCTGTACCTTATGGAGCAGCTGTATGACTACAAAATGGTTGAAAACCGTTCTGTAGTGGAACAGGCTCATGAGATACAGGCGCTAGCAAAGTAACTAGAACATTTTTTATGTCTATTACCCGACAAGTTTATGGCCGACGGTATAATCGCTAAGCTATCACCTTCTTGAAGGAATTTTGCTACTTCTCTAAAACACAAGACAAGAGTTTAGCGTGGCTAAACTTATTAGATCTCTTGATGTTGAGGTAAGGGCGAGAGCAAAAGACAACCGTGGAAAAGGAGTTGAGTCTTCCGCTGCCAATACGGTGCAGAAGAAAAACTCATTTGCATCCTGTAATAAAAAGAAGAAGAACATGCAAGAGAATAACGATACAAAGCCTAAGCAAACTGCTCAGTTTAAGAAGAAAAACAACAAGAAAGGTGGAGGTTGCTTTGTTTGCAGGAGTGATGAGCATTGGGCAAGTGCGTGCCCAGACCGCAAATATAAGTAAGAAAAGAAATCAGCAAACGTGGTGATTAGTGAGACTGGAGGAGGAACATCTGGGTATGGTAATTCTTTACCTTTTGTTCTTTCAGTTTGTCTTTTACCTGAGTGGTGGATGGATAGTGGTGCTAATATTTATGAATGTGCTGATGTTTCTTTGTTTACTTCATATCAGGCTGACAGGACTAGAGCCTTGTTGATGGGAAACGGTTCGCATGCACGTGTTCTTAGTGCTGGTACGGTCGTTCTGAAGTTTACTTCGGAAAAGACGGTGCTATTAAAGAATGTGCAGCATGTCCCTCCATCAAGAAGAATCTTGTTAGCGGTTCTTAAATGTGTCGCGATGACTTTAAAATTGTGTTTGAGTCCAATAAGTGTGTTGTGTCGAGACATGGAACATTTGTTGGAAAAGGTTATGATTGCGGAGGCTTGTTCCGCTTATCTTTGCTTGATGATGTGTGTAATAAAGCAGTGAACACTGTTAATATTTCGGATGAGTCGAATATATGGCATTCACGATTTTGTCACATTAATTTTGGCTGTCTCACGTGGCTTGCAAATCTAAATTTAATCTCAAAATTTAACTTAGTCAAATATTCTAAATTTTAGGTGTGTGTGCAATCGAAGCAACCGCGCAAGCCTCATAAGGCTGCTGAGGCGAGAAACTTAGCACCATTAGAACTCATTCATTCTGATTTATGCGAAATGAATGGTGAATTGATTAAAGGTGGTAAACGATACTTATGACATTTATAGATGATTGTACTAGATTTTGCTACGTGTATTTATTGAAAACTAAAGATGAAGCGTTGCATTATTTTAAGGTCTATAAAGCTGAGGTAGAAAATCAACTTGAGAAGAAAATCAAGCGTTTGCGGTCTGATCGTGGGGAAGAATATTTCTCAAATGAATTTTCTGAGTTTTGCGCGGTGCATGGAATTATTCATGAGAGAACGTCATCATACTCACTATAGTCCAATAGGATTGCAGAGAGAAAGAACCGCACTCTAACTGATTTAGTTAATGCCATATTAGAGACTGTGGGACTATCTAAGGAACGGTGAGGTGATACTATATTGACAGCGTGTCATGTCTTGAATAGGGTGCCCACAAAGAACAAAGAAATTACACCATTCGAGAAATGGGAGAAGAAGAGATTAAATCTCTCTTACCTGCGAACTTGGGGTTGTTTGGTAAAGGTGAATGTGCCAATAAACAAAAAGCGAAAGCTTGGACCAAAGACTGTTGATTGTGTTTTTCTTGGTTATGCTATCCACAGCATGGGTTATAGATTTTTAATTATAAATTCTCCTGTTCCTGAGATGGCTGTTGATAAAATCATGGAATCTAGAGATGCTATATTTTTTTAGAATGAATTTTTCATGAAAAATGCACCTAGCACGACTAGTCATGAATTTATAATTTCCTATGAGCATGAAAATTTTACTCGGATAGAACAAATTGAGGAACCCTATATGCAAAATCCTGAGGATGACACTATAGTCACTAGAAAAAGTAAGAGACAGAGGATTGCAAAGTCTTTTGGTGATGACTATATTATGTACCTTGTGGATGACACACCAACGACCATTGAAGAGGCATATTCCTCTCCTAATGCTGACTTGTGGAAGGAAACAGTACAGAGTGAGATAGATTCTATTATGTCTAATGGAACTTGGGAAATAGTTGATTGTCCCTATGGGTGCAAGCCTATAGGGTGCAAATGGGTGTTCAGAAAAAAGCTTAGGCCTAATGGTACTATCGAGAGGTACAAGGCAAGACTTGTGACCAAGGGTTATACTCAAAAGGAAGGTGAGGATTTCTTTGATACTTATTCACCGGTTACCCGATTGACTACAATTTGAGTTTTGCTTTCCCTGGCAGCCTCCTATGGTCTTATCGTTCATCAAATGAATGTTAAGACAGCTTTCCTAAACGGAGAGTTAGAGGTGGAGATCTATATGGATCAGCCGGATAGGTTTGTAGCAAATGGTTAAGAAGACAAGGTGTGTAAATTATTAGTCATTATATGGCCTAAAACAAGCTCCTAAGCAGTGGCATGAGAAGTTCGACAGAACTTTAACATCTGCTGGCTTTGTTGTGAATGAAGCTGACAAATTGTGTACTATCGGTATGGTGAGGGTGAAGGAGTTATTTTGTGCTTGTATGTTGATGACATATTGATCTTTGGATCCAGCCTTAAAGTGATTGAGGAGGTGAAGGAATTTTTATCTAACAATTTTGAAATGAAAGATTTGGGAGAGGCTGATGTTATTCTTAATATCAAGCTTCTGAGAGAAGGTAATGG